GAGAATGAGCGGGGGAGGGGCAGAGAGAGAGGGAGACACAGAATCCAATGCAAGCTCCAGGCTCTGAGCTGTCAGCACAGAGCCCAACGAGGGACTCAAACTCATGAACCTCCAGATCATGACCTGATGATCGTGCTTACCAACTGAGCCATCCAGGTGCTCCAAAACACCAAATTCTTTAATCCTCATAGGATATATTTTACATGTGCGGTAGGGTACTAGATCCAATAGTTCTTTTCCCTAGAAAAGATGACTAATTGATTCAGTACCACTTAGAAACTTTCTTGACCTATAAATTTGAAATTCCAACTTTATTGAACAATAAATTGCTGTGTCAGTCTCTGGACACTCCTGCACTAGTATTGCATTTACTTATGCTCATGTCACACTGTTTTGAATGGTATGAAAGTCTTAATATTTAGACTTTATGTATATATATAAAGGTTGATAATGTTGCATTTACTGCTGTAGGGCCTCAGCTTGGGGTAATCCCACGGGTGGTATCATGTTTACCTAATTCTTGGGATCATTGCCTCTTTGTGTTAGATCTGCACATTTGAGTAATTATTCATTCTTGCAGTCTTTATAGGGTCACATCGCTATAGAAAGTCCTTCAGCCCTCATCTCAATGTAGGCTACTTAATGGTCTGTTGGCTGTGTCTGCAGGCAACTGGGCTTGCCATTTGTGTCTCCAAAACTGATGGAGCAGACATCTCTTTCAGACTGTATAGACTATTTTCTTCCTTTCTCTCTCTCTCTCTCTCTCTCTCTCTCTCTCTCTCTCCTCTTTCTCCTTCTCCTTCTTCTTATACAGTCTCTTCATAGGTAAAAACTGTCTTGTGGGGTCCCTGGACTGATGGGTTCTGCCTCCAGAATTATAGTCAGGTGGGGTTGAGAACAGTCACATGGGTCTACTGGGTCTGCACTGGAGTGTGCGCTATACGATCCTGTTATCAGGGCAATCGACCATTTTTGGGCCCTGGTCAGAAAGGACATCCCTCCAAGACCTTGGTCAGTAGGACAGACACCAGGACAGGCACCCTCTTCAGGGTCCAAAGATGGTGGTAACATTTCTAGTTGTGCGACTAGGTGGCCATAAATGGACCCGAACACAGCTGAGAGGGGTGGGAGGCAAGTCACAAGCCTGACTTAGGGTCCACAGCCATGCCAGGTTGTGCAGGCCTGCCGCAGTGGGCACTGATGGGCAAGCCTCCCCCTGGGTCCCTGGATGGGCAGGATTCCTCCTACATCATGGCTCACCATCTGGAGTTGGGTTGTGGGCTGCTTTAAGATCTGCAGTCAGACAGGGTTAGTAGGCCTGCCTCCTCCAGACTCACAGATGGACATGTACCCTTCTGGATTCCTCCGTGGGGAAGACGACAGTGAAGAGAGGCTTGAGGTGCATCACCAGCTGTCTTGCTCAAGGTCTGCATCTCAGAGTGAGGTCAGCAGAAACCTCATGTTACCTGAGAGGCATGGGTGGATGTGTCTCCTTCCAGGGCCTGAGTGATGGTGCTGGTGGCAAGGCCAAATGGGCCAAATGGGCCTGTAGCCAAGTAGACATGGTGACATGGCTCTTTCTTTCTCTCTCTCTCTTTCTCTCTCCCTTTCTCCCTTCCTTCTTTCTTTTCTTTCTCTCTCTCTCCTCTATCTCTTTCTCTCTCTCTCTCCCTCCCTCCCTTTTCTTTCTTTCTTTCTTTCTTTTCTTTTCTTTATTTCTTTTCAAATAGTTTATTGTCAGGTTGGTTTCCATATAACACCCAGTGTTCATCCCCACAAGTGCCCCCTCCATGCCCATTTCCCCCCTACCCCCCCATCCATCAGTCCTTAATTTTTGTCAGCATTCAAGTCTCTCATGGTTTGCCTCTCTCCCTTTCCCCCACCACTTCCCCCCTTTTTCTCCCCCATGGTCTTCAGTTAAGTTCCTCCTAATCCTCCTAATGTGCAAACATATGATATTTGTCCTTCTCTGCCTGACTTATTTCGCTCAGCATAACACCCTCAAGGTCCATCCATGTTGCTACACGTGGACATGGCTGTTTCTATGTGTGTAGCTGGGACCACAGACAGTGAGCCAGCCCTCTGGGTTTAAGTGTCCCTTCTCAAAATGACCCTCCTTGTTTGTGGGCTCTACTGGGGTTTTATAGTCTCCTACCTGAATTCCAGAACTTCCACAAAGTACTTTTATTCATGGAAGGCTGCCTGACTATTGTTGCTGGGGGGGATCCAAGTGGAGATCTCGTATTCTGCCATCTTGCTGTCTCAGGAATTTCAGTGTACCCATCTTAAGGAAATCTTACAGTAACTTGTCACATAACTAGGTCAAAGCAAAAGATGGCTAAGCCAACAGCATCCAAAATGTATTTGGTCACTTTTCATTCATCACTGCATGTGGTGGTGAGTATGTGTGTTGCAGGAGAGGAGAGAAGCAGGCTCTCAATCTGGAGTAGTACGTACTTGATTCATACCGGCATCAGTGAAGACCAGTGGACACACCAGTACCACCGACCTCTAAGATACTATTACCAAGGAGGTGTTCTGTAGGCCTCTCAGACTGATAAACTGATGTTTTATCCTCCCCACTATTTTCTTCTTCCTCTTATGCCATCAGTGGAAAAGCTAACACCATCAACTCTAGCACTCAAAGAATTTTTCTTCAGTGGTCATCAAGCTGGTTTACCCCCCTACGTAACAGACCATGTCTAGTCATTTTCAGTCATCACAAATATGTGCCGGCACCTAGTGGGTGGATCTTTTAAAAGTCTACACAATACAGGGCAGCCCTCACAAGAAATCATTAAACAGACCAGAATGTCAATATTGATTTTTTGAGATCCTGGTCTAGACTATTCAGGGCTAATATTAAAAGATTTCTCTAAAAAATCCCAGCAACTGTCTATTACCTTATTATGGAATTAAAGATATTATCAGAAAGGAATCTCACGATCGTTTCCCATTATCTTGTTACTTTTTTATTATATTTAAATATCTGTAACAGAATTCACTATTTTAAACACTTTAGATGGACAATTCTGTTCCCATCAAGTACATGGTTTTTTGGTGCAACCATTACCACTAGCCATTTCCAGATGGTTTCCTATTCCCAAACGGAAACCCTACCCATTAAACACTCATTTTTCATCTTCTTTCCCTCCACCAGCTGCCAATCATGCACTGAGAAAAGGAGTTTCCACCTGAGGTCCTGGGGCGTATCTGAAGGTGGCAATGATGGAAAATAAAGCTGCAATTAAACATGGATAAGGAAGGAAAAGAGGGAATGAGAGATAGGGTGACAGGAAGGCAATGAATGTGGCAGGATCTCAGACTTCTCCTGTGCAACATACTGCATAGAAACTCCTAAGCAAACTACCACTCAAATCAGATTCCTACACTGGAAGTCCAAAATCACATCACTGATTCCAGGGTAGAATCCACTGCAGTCACAAACTTTTTGTGGAAAGTGGGGTAAATGAGAAGCTTCTTTCTCTGTAAGAAACATCGTAATTGCATGAAATTATACGTGTAAAACAGCACAGTTTTAACATGGCAAGCACTTGAATTACAACTGTAGTAGCCTTTTTATGCCCCTTCTTCATGTGAAAAATGCACCCAAATAAATGAACGTGAAGAGTATTAACATTTGAGAGGACAGGCGAGGAAAGCAGGGCAGCACTTGATGGATGTGTTTCACATCTAATGTTGCCCAGGTCAGGAACGGCTATCGGAAATCCGACCGAAGACAGAATTTTGGTACTGTAATTAGGGAAGAAAGGTAACAGAGGAACTACTAAAGAGGTTGTTGAGAAACAAATACAAAGACAGATACAAGCAAGTCATGGGTGCTTTGGAAACAGAGGAAATGAAGTATCTATTAGAAGAGAAAAATAGCAAGATTTAAATCCACGTTTGCATTTGGGGCCCACAATATCCTCTTAGTTCTGAGGCCAATGGCCCATCATGGCCCATCTCTCCCAGGTGGAGAAGACTTCCCAGCACCCCATCACATCCTTGTTCCTCAGGCTGTGGATGAAGGGGTTCAGCATGGGGGTGACCACAGTGCACATCACTGAGGCAATCAAGCTTCTCTGGGAAGAATGTTTCTAGAAGTGAACTCAACTGCCAGGCTTCTCTCACAGGAAAAGGAGATCACAGAGCAGTGAGACCCCCCAGGTGGTAAGTGCTTTATATTTCCCCATCTAGAAGACATTCTTATTAAGGAAGAGACAGTCTGAGACTATGACAAGAGGATCCTAATGAAACAAAAGTCAGTGAGTGCAGTTACTGACACACACACAAGATGTTACTGATGAGAGTAACAGACTGTTGGAATTAGGACTGGTAGGTTTTGCAATAATCCAGTGATGTCACCGAAGGCCAGTGTAGTATACACTGCAACCCACACCTATACTCAAGAGAACCACTTCATATCCAAATCTCCAAACACAAACCTAAGACGAATGTGCCCAGGTCACTTCTGATCAGGATTATCATTACACTTAGAGTGTGTTCCACTGGTGTAAGCCCAAATGGAAGTGATATGAAGCTGCTCCTGCAGCCTCCAAGGCCACCCACGACATAACTAAAGGCTACTCAAGTGTCACAGGTGTATGAATGTGTTAACTCAAAGCGGAAACAAGGTTCTGGTGGATTCTCTGTCTCTATCCAAAGGCCACTTTCAAGAACTGCCAGTGGTGGCAGCAAGTACTTCAGATTATCAGGACCTGTCCTATTCACAAGGTTCTCTATCTCCTACATATGAAAGGGTGAGAAACTAACCAGCAAGTCAAGTGCCAGGTGCAGCTATTTCTGAACACAGGCAAACACATCATTGGTTTTCTTCCAGGTTGTGGTGATCTAGGAGCTAAGAGAACATTCCCTGTTCCCAGTATCTCCACGCACTGTCTGAGGTTCAAGGTATTTTCTAACCTAGTACTGGGTGTGTAGCTCTTTCGAGGGTTATGAAATCAGGGTGTATAACCCTCACATTTCTAAAGTCTTTTCGGGCCCAGAAAGATCAGGTATGAGAGAGGGACAAGAGCATCTTCAGGAAATTTAGAGACATATACCCCCCACATTCACCCCCATGAGGCACTGTAAATGGACTCTGTGAGCAGTGAACTATTTTAACTGCTCACCGTCTTCACAGTATTAGACAAGGTCCATATAACTAGGCAACCCAGGTGGCTTCAACAGCATTAAGTCTAATAGTAGTAGTCGCACTTGGGGCCAGGCTGCAATCCAGGTGTAGAAACTAGACTAGCATTGCTCTCAGGGGCAGAAAGCCAGACCCTTCCCAAAAATGGTCAGGGAAGAGGGGCTCATGTTCAAAGGAGATCTATAAACCCACCCTGTAAGCTGAGTTCCACACATCTCTTACATTTAACCACTTCACTGTTTCTCCAGCATGGTTTTTAGGAGACCGATTGCCTTCCCACATTGCTTAACTTCATAGGGCATCTAATTAGTGAGTTCTTTCATGTATTCAATGGGACACCTGGAGACTTTTCTACATTCCTCATATTCATACAGTTTCCCTACAATGTGGTGTTCATGTTTTTGAAATGAACTGGATAACAAATTTGGTCACAATTATTCTGTGCATACCTATCTGTGATGCATTTTTAGGTGTTGTGACCATGATGCGAAGGCTTTCCCATATCCTTTATGTCCAAGGAGTTGCTCTGTGGTGCCAATTTTTACACATGGAGTTAAGCTTGAGCAAACAGTGGTCTCCTCTCTGTGTGTACATTCAAAGGGCTTCTCTCCAGTGGGACTTCAAATGTGTATCTGGAGTTGTGGAAGTAGTGCAGGCTTTCCCACACTCTGTACACTCATAGGGCTTCCCTCTACTGTGAGTTTGTATATGTTTGTGAAGGTTGGAGGACCAAGTGAGGTCTTTCCCACATTCTTTACATTAACAGGGCTTCTCTCCAGTGTGGATTCTTAGTGTTGGCTCCAGATGAAAGCAGTAGTGAAAGCTTGCCCAGAGTGCTTACTCTCTAGAATGATTTCGCAAATGGCTATGAAAATAGGAGAAAGTCCTAAAGGCTTCCCCACATTCACCACATTGAAAGGGTTTCTCTCCAGTGTGAGGTCTCAAATGTTCATGAAGATATGAGGAACTACCAAGTGCTTTCTCACATTCACCACATTCATAGGGCTTCTCTCCACCGTGAGTTCGTAAATGTTTTTTAAGGACTGAGGGCCAAACGAAAGCTTTCCCACATTCCTTACATTGATAGGGTTTCTCTCCAGTGTGAGTTCTCAAGTGTACACTAAGTCGTGAGGAATTAGTGAAGGCTTTCCCACATTCCTGACATTTATACGGCTTCTCTCCAGTGTGAATTCTCAAATGTTCATTAAGAATTGAGGAACTACTGAGGGATTTCCCACATTCCTTACATTTATAAGGCTTCTCACCACTGTGAGTTTGAACATGTTTACGAAGGACCGAGAGCCAAGCGAAACGTTTCCCACATTCCTTACATTTATACGGCTTCTCTCCAGTGTGAATTCTTAAATGTTCATTAAGAACGGACGAACGGCTGACGGCTTTTCCACATTCCTTACATTTATAGGGCTTCTCACCACTGTGAGTTCGAACATGTTTGCGAAGGAGTGAGGGCCACTGGAAGTGTTTCCCACACTCTTTACATCGATAGGGTTTCTCTCCAGTGTGAATTCTCAAATGCACATAAAGGCGTGAGGACGTAGTGAAGGCTTTCCTACATTCACTACATTCAAAGGGTTTTATTCCAGCGTGAAGTCGAATGATGTGATTATTGAGGCACTTGGAATCTGTGTAAGACTTCCCACATTGTTTACGTTCATGGGGTTCTGGAGCAGTATGTGTCTGCACGTGCTCAGTATGGCCTGCTGAGAAAACTGACGCTCTTATAAACGGCTTCCATTCATCGAGATCTCCTCCACTGTGAGTTCTCATGTGCGCCTGAAAGTGGGAGTGACTAATGAACGTCTTCCCACAGTCGCTGCATTCCAGAGACTTCTCTGCCAGGCTGGTTCTCTCATACACGATATGTGGAGTCTGGCTCAAAGTTTTACCACACTGATTCAACTTGGAAAGCTTCTCTCTAGTGCAGTTTTTCTTTTGCGGAGTAAGGAAGCCATTGTGATACGGGTGACACTCAAAAGTGTTCTCTCTATATTGAGTTCTCACGTGTGTCTTAAGGTTGAAGTGTTTCCTCAAGACTTTCCCACTTTGCTCACAGTCAGAGAGTTCTGCTCCATGGTGGGTCCTCTCCTGTTGATGAAGAGGTGAAAGATGATGATAGGGTTTTCAGACTGATGATGAGTTTCAACCTTATAATGCTAAAAACATTATGATGAGGACTTTATCAGACTTATTACATAAATACAGTTCCTACTGATTTCTTTCAGGTTAAACCAGGGAATTCTTCTGCCAAAAAGTGATACCATTTATTGTATCTTGTGATCATTCCAGTAAAATTTTTTAAAATTTACTTTTATTTGAATGAAATCTGGCCATGTGTAGCAACATGGATGGACCTTGAGGGTGTTATGCTGAGCGAAATAAGTCAGGCAGAGAAGGACAAATATCATATGTTTGCACGTATAGGAGGATTAGGAGGAACTTGACGGAGGAACAAGGGGGAGAAGAAGGGCGGAAATGGTGGGAGAAAGGGAGAGAGGCAAACCATGAGAGACTCTTGAATGCTGACAAAAACTGAGGACTGATGGATGTGGGGGGGAGGGGGGGATGGGCATAGAGGAGGACACTTATGGGGATGAGCACTGAGTGTTATGTGGAAACTAATTTGACAATAAACTATTTGTAAAAAAAAAAAAATAAAATCAATTGGAACATTTAAAAAAAATTTACTTTTATTTATTTATCTATCTATCTACTTATTTTTGAATTTTTGAGAGACAGAGACCGTGAGTAGGGGAGGAGCAAAGAGAGAGGGAGACACAGAATCTGAAGCAGGTCCAGGCTCTGAGGTGTCAGCACAGAGCCCAACATGGGGCTTGAACTCATAGACAGTGAGATCATGACCCGAGCTGAATTTGGACACTCAATTGATTGAGCCACCTGGGCACCCCCCATCCTTTTTTTTTTTTTTTTTAGCGTTTATTATTTTTCAGAGACAGAGTATGGTCAGGGGAGGGGCAGAGAGAGAGAGAGCCACAGAATCTGAAGCAGGCTCTAAGCTCTGAGCTGTCACCACAGAGGCCCAACACGAGGCTCGAACCCACAAACTCGAAGATGATGACCTGAGCTGAAGTCAGACACTTCATAACTGATCAAGCCACCCAGGCGCCCTTCCAGTAAATTTCATGAAAATGATTAAAGACTCAATCACAAGTTATATCTTGGGGAATGTGTACTTATGGTATCTAGGAAGCAACAATTTTCAAAATAGATTTAGATTATAAACCCTAAATCATCATATTCAGAGTATCTCTGAACTGCTTTGTCTTTGGTGAATGTCACTTGTCTCAAATATCTCCAACTTGCATTGAGTTTTATAACAGAACTACCAATCTTTTTTTGAATGTGGAAGAGAAGAAATATCGTAAGTAGGGATGTCTGGGTGGCTCAGTCAGTTAAGCATCAGACTTCAGCTGAGGTCCTGATCTCATGGTTTGTGGGTTCAAACCCCAAGTCGGGCTATGCACTGACAGTGTGGAGCCTCCCTGGGATTCTCTCTCTCCTCTTCTCTCTGCCCCTCCCCTGCTCTCTCTCTCTCTCTCCTTCAAAATAAATAAATAAACTTTAAAAAAACAAAGATATATCACAAATCAGTCTTACTTTCTGTATTTCACTGGCTGTTTTTCCTCCAAAAAAATCATGGTGAGATGCTGACCCTTTAGTTTGAAGTCCTGTTTCCCATTCTGCAGTAAAATAAAGACACAAATTTAAACATTTGCAGACATAAGTCATAGGCTAAACAATCTTAATATAAAATTCAGTTTTATTTTCATATTAAAATTGGTGCAATAAGAAAGAAAAAAGATTTCATCAGTTTGTTCATGAGGAAAATATAACAAAAAGTGGATAGGGACACACTTTAGTGGCTTACTAAAAAATAACTTCCTGAAAATCAAATATAACACAATATCAAAATATTAAGGTAACAATATTATCAAGTAGACATATGAAAAATATGTGGACAATGAGGATATATCAAAGATAAAACTATAGAAGAACCAGGTCATTTGTGAGAGCATAAAATGTTCAGTACAAGACTGAAGGAAGTTCAACGTATCCCAAAACATCAAAGACAAATGGCTTCAGCCCTCTGAGACAAAATGTGTCTTAAAAATTTTACACATTAAAGTTTCAAAGATGTCATACCTCAGGTTGACCAGGGACATGCTTCTCATTCATCAATGATGTCTGTCACCACACTCACCTTGGAAAACACTCTGCTCCACTGCCCTGAGCTCTTGTTCTAACCAAGCAATCAGCTTAGGTTTCGACAGTTGATATTCTGTCCACAGGAAAAGGTACGTTATTAGGAGGGACTCATGTAAGAGATCACAAAGCTGCTGATGAATACAAAACTGTATTTTTTTTAAACATTTATTTATTTTTGAGAGACAGAGATTGAGCAGGGGAGGGGCAGAGAGAGAGGGGAAAACACAGAATCCGAAGCAGGCTCCAGGCTCTGAGCTGTCGGCACCGAGCCCAACACGGGGCTCAATCTCATGCACTGTGAGATCATGACCTGAGCCAAAGTCGAACGCTTAACTGACTGAGCCACCCAGGGGCCCCTATATTTCTTCTTCTTCTTTTTTTTAATGTTTATTTATTTACTTTGAGACAGAGAGGGAGAGAGGGGGGGAGAGAGAGAGAGAGAGAGAGAGAGAGAGAGAGAGAGAATGAGAATGAATCCTAAGCAGGCTCTACACCAGCAGTGCAGAGCCCAACAGGGGCCTCGAACTCCTAAACCATGAAATCACAACCTGAGCCTAAATCAAGAGTTGGACATTTAACCAACTAACCACCCAGAAGCCCCCAAAACTATTTTTAATGAAGGAAGTGAAATTATTCCAAAGGACCAAAAAGGCAAATACTCCCTTTTTGTGGCAAAAAAATTCATGATCTCTGACCCTTGAAAGCCAAATTCAAACATACATACATATTTACAGAGTATAAGCCACTTATTCAAATAGGAAATAAAGAAGGGGCACCTGGGTGGCTCCGTTGATTAAGCATCTGACTTCAACTCAGGTCAGAGCATGGTCTCATGATTTGTGAATCTGAGCCCTACATCAGGATCTGCACTGTCAGAGCCTAGGACTCTCTCTCTCCCTGCCCCCCCCCCCAACTTTCTACCTCTCTTTCTCCTTTCCCCCTACTCTCTCTCAAAATAAATGAATAAACTTTAAAAAAAGGAAATAAAGGAGATAAGGAAAGGAGATCCTCCTTTTCTGATGGGGAAATCACTAGAGAGAGGTCTCAAACACTGGAATGCATCACAATCATCAGGAAGGCTTACTGAACATAGAAGATGGGGCAACAACCCCAACTTTATAATTCAGAATATCAAAAATGGAATCTGAGAATGTAAGCTCCTAGCAGAGCGATTGTGTTACTGTGGACCCTAGGGGTGTTTCCAGAACACCCACTGCTGATTACCCATTAGTGCAGGGACTATGCAGCTCTTATTCCCAATTATGTTTTAGATTAGGCACCACCAAGGCTGGAAACACATTAAGTATATGATCCATGTCAGGAATGGTGGAAGCCTCACCTACTGTGACCAGGTTCTGGTAGTTCTCCAGCATCACGCTTCTGTACAGGTTTCTCTGAGCGAGGTCCAGTAACATCCACTCCTCCTGGGTGAAGTCCACTGCCACATCGTCAAAGGTCACTGCAATCTAAACCATCACACCCGTGTTGGCTTGGGACAAGAAACATCCCCACCAACGTTCACGGGGGAATGAGGACGGGAGACTCACTACCGACGCGGGGTCATGAGGTTTCTCATCCATCCTCCCACGGTTCTGTGGCTCTAGGTTACTGTTCTCTGAATCTAGACTCACTCACGGCTCCTCTCCACTCCTATGGTTTTCATGTCACTTTTAAACATGAGTTTATCTCAGCATAACCAGAGTAGGAGCTCTTCTTATTTCCCTCTATTGCAATAGACTTCTGAGCACACTACAGACTCTTGATAAACAGCGTAGAATGGCTGAACTCTTTAAAGAAAGGACATGTACACCTTACCACGTCAGAGCACACAGCAAGGTGGAAGCCTACACTTCAAATCCTTGAGCTTCAGGATTGATTACTGAAATACTGAGACTATTTTCAGGGTAATCCCTTTTTGACACGGGAGCTTACACTTCCAGAGGAAATTCAGCTGGGGATTCAGTCCCTGTCTGGGGTTTGTTTGCTTTAGGAAGCTCAGGACACAGGTGTGCCTAGAAGGAATGTATCACCCAGTGGATGTAAATACGGCATTTTATTGATTGATGTGGTTGTTTCTTACCCGATGATAATTTTTCAGCCAGACAGCCACCATCCTTTCTGCCTCTGTGTTTTCCTCATGAAGGGGGAAATGATCTCTAGAAAGATCTCAGGGAAAAAATAATACTTAGTTTCTTAGAATGCAGCATGATCACATTTCCCAGAATCCCCCACCTGAAAGTCATTCCATCCTATTCTGAGATTCCCGTATATCCATGCACACTCAAGAATCTCACACAAATACACACGATTGCCATAAAATACCAGAGTAGCCCTGCCACACCTGAAGCCTTATAAGGGATGTGCCAGACATAATGTCCATGTAGAAAGGGGCCATAGTCTTATATTACAGGTATGGAAATCTAATCCCTGGGAAATCTAATTCTTTATTTGCCCAAGATAATAACACTCATCAATGGGATTATGGAACACCAACTCCCAAAGCACATGTGCTGGGAAGCTGACTTAGAGAACAGCATTTTCTGGCAAATTGTAGCTCTAAGTGAGCCAGCAGCTTGACTGCTTAGGCCCAGATCCCTGGCCCTATGTTATGTAGAGGTTACATTTAAGAATCCTCAGAAAATGAGATTCAACAATGACTTACCATGGGTCAAATCAATGGCTGCCATCCTGGGACACTGATGGTGAAACTTGCCTGATGCAAAATTTGATGCCAAGACCACTTCAGTGCAACTTAAGAATCTAAGTAAATATGGCAATTTTCATTATTCTTGACACAGGGTTAACTGGAGTCCTTTTCATATCCATCATTAATCAGCAAGCATTACTAATCCATCAATCAAACATCATACATTAGCTCTCTCTCTGCAGGTGATATATATGTGAAATTTACTAAAAATGGTATAATCTATGGCATGAAGCTCAGTAACATCGATTACCATTTCCTGAGGATCATATGTGACAGACATTTTTCTCACTAGGAGCTCTATGTATATATCAGCTCACGTAATTATCATAACAACCCTCTACAATAGATATCATTAGCCCCACTTAATAGCTGATAAAGCTAGAGATACAGAACACTAATCATTTGTCCAGCACCTTCCAATTAGGAAAAAAGCGATCCAAAATTTAATGCAGATAAGCTTGTCTCTAATGTTTGATCTCCTGAGGTTCTTATTCACAAATAATAATCAGACATCATTTTAGACCTGCAGTGTCCATTTTGGTAGCCAGCAGCCACATATACCATTGAGTACTTGATATGAAATTAGTAAAACAGGACTTTAAGTTTTAGTTATTTTTAATTATATTTTAAATGTAAAACTCATTTGCAGATTCACTTATTAGAGAACTTAAGTATGTTCTGGTAAACATACATCTGCTTTCTCAACTATATTACATGATTCAAATACATATCAAGTACATGCCACAAAAATTTTACGTGCAGTGAATTCTGACTACTTAGTATGGCGAAAAGAATTTAAATACTTCAGTTTTTATATGGGTTACATGCTGAAATATTTGAATAGATAGGATAAAGCGTATCTCCTTTTTTGTTTATTGCAGGTATAGAAAAACTTTAATCATGTACATGACCTACACATATTTCCATTGGACAGCACTGGCCTAGAATACTGCTGGATATTACACTGAGGAGAAAAATGAAGTGTTCTATTTAGTTAACACCCTTGGGCTTCATTTTATGGAGCTTAAATGGCTTGGAGCCCTGAACCTTCTTTTAAGTTATCATAATGGGCCTATTCCTTCATTCTTTTCACAATTAAGATCTTAATCGTGGTCCTGTGCTAGGCACTAAGTAGAAAACAGTGAAGTATGCAGCAAATGTCCCAGGGCTTAATGGCCCAACATAACTAAGGGATAAGATACTCAATTATTAATGGATTCATCCATTCATTATTCCTTCTGGAGCAAAAATTCAAACAGGTGAGAAAATCGAGTATCTTATATACAAACACAAATGTATACACGAATATTTTGGATTTTGGGGGGGCAAAGGACAAAAAAGGAAAATGACCATGTTATTCTAAATAGAACCCAAAAAGATTTAAAAAATAATGGTGGAAGGATTTTATAAAACTCAGAAGACATTTCAAGTGTTCAACAGCCTCAGTGGGTCTTCCCCTCACCCTGGCAAAGGAGCCAAATCAGACAGCTTCACATTGATCTATTTATTTATAAGTCTTCCCAGAGAACCTCCTTTTCATATTATCACTTCTGTTTTTCACCAAGTTTTCATGTTATTTTTATTCCTTTCTTAACAAGGCTTCCTACTCACTTTAATACCTGAGACAGTTCAAAGGATAACTCCTATGTTAAAAATTAATGACTCTCTTTAGTAAATTAAACACAGAACAGCAGCCCAAATGCTGATCTACAAATGATGACAAACACTGGAAGCCCCCAATTTCATTACCATAAGCCAAAATAACCCTCACAACCCAAGATGCTTCATTCTATCGATGAAAAGACCAGAACTCTGAAATTACATGCTGCCATAAACACTGTATCTCAAAGGCTTAGTACAGCTTGCACTTACTCCCAGGGATCTCAAACTGAAGTCCTTTAGGCTGAACAGGCCCAAATGTGTTTACTTTGGCTGGTGGCACCGGCCCATTTTTCCTTTCGGTTTTTCTTTTTAACTGAGATATAAGTGTTATGCAATGAAATGAGTAGATCTTAAGTATTCAGAGGATGAGCTTATAATTACTTATAAGTACTCATGTAATGAGCAGTACAAGGAAGATCTACAATATATTCATCTACCCAAAAGTCATCTTCACCCTTCTAGCTCATTCCCTTACCCTCAATCCAGACAATCATCATCTGGTTTCTGCCAGTTACTAGATATGTTAAGTAGTGTCCATATCGTTTACAAATCTATATCCTGACAATCTTCTCTTGTTTAAAGAAACAATACGGGAGAAACATTTTTTTTTTCCTGAGAGAGAGAGAGAGACACCATGAGCAGGGGAGGGTCAGAGAGAGAGGGAGATACAGAATCTGAAGCAGGCTCCAGGCTCTGAGCTGGCTGTCAGCACAGAGCCCAACGCAGGGCTTGAACCCACACACCACGAGATCATGACCCAAGTTGAAGTCAGACGCTTAACCAACTGGCCACCCAGGCGCCCCAAGAGAAACATTCTTAAAACTCTCAGTGTAAGTGTGAATGTGCCCATTTCTTCCTGTATTTCTGCCAAGCATTGGTTTATATTTTATGCAACAATATTATGGGGTAGGTACACTGACTCTCTTATATCAAGGAATTATCCTGCACTTTGGTTTCTGAAATGACCCTTCCTCTGCATAAAAATAATGAGAAAAATCTCACTTGTGGTAGAAGTCTTGGAAGGAAAAGCTCCTTCTCCTCAAGTTCCACCCAAACCACCTGTTACTGTCCCTGGTGACATTAACTAGTTCACAACCCACAGTAATAGGAATACAACAAGATAAAATAGCTTGCACAACAAAATAGTTCCAATTCCAGTCATGTGGAGAAGAAACCTGGTTACCCTGTGGGAGAAACAGCTGTAAGCATGCCAGACCTAGAAGGCTGGAATACAACAAATAAACTGGGTCAAATTCATTGGCGTGTGCTCTTTATTAGACAGTCTGGGTTTCATAGCACTAGCTCATGAACCTAGGGAAAGCTCTAACAGCTTAGATGGTACCACAGACACAGTGGTGACCTACAGGAAGGAGCACACATACGGCAGAACTCCAGAACAAAATGTGACGGAGCAGATCCTAGGGAGACAGGAATGTTGCACTGGCTTTATCGTGTGTGATACACAGCCCCCATTCCCCATCCCATCTGGAGGGAATAGAACACTCTTTCCACAACTGCACTGAGAAACAGATAAAAGGAGCACCTCCATCCTTGAACCCTAAGTGGTTATTCTCCTTTAGAGGTGAGGTATGATTGTAGGGGATATAACATCACTGAGGTGAACGCCCTGATTTCAGTGGGGATGATGAGGGCCCAGAGCAGCAGAAATCAAGTAGGCGGCACTTAACTGCCAAAGACAAAGTGGGCACATGAACTGTCGAGAGCAGAAGGAATGAAACAGGAATCAGAATGCTTTGTCCTGCAGAGATCTTTAATGATGGCAAACGAATCTGAAACCAATTAGTCCCTTGCAGTGAAACAGGCAGCTTAATAAACCTCCTCTAAAGATCCATACAGTACATTTTAGGCAAAGCAGGCCGAACAGTCCCCGTGCTATACTTAACTCTGTCATTGTGGTTTCAAAGAACCAATGAATACGTTTAAGTTTGTATAAAGTTCTATGTACAGAAACAGGCAGAGGGCCAGAGTGGACCCAGGGTCCACAGTTTGCCAGCCTGTGTACTAGAATTTTACTTGATGTCTGTAGCAAGAAGTCTCTAATAACCAAAACTCTGACTTGACTCACCACACTGGAAAATCACAGCCCACTACCCAACTTCCAGACATAGGCAAATTCACAAACTTAGAACCCACCCCTTCAGCAAAGGCAGGATTTTGCACCATCACCACAATCCATACAAATCTTCATACAGATCCTTCATAAAGGGACTTACGGGCATTCGTGAGAATGGGTATACATGGGGAAAAGAAAACACCCACACCATCTCTAAGGTGACACAAAGTACTGAGGATTCAGTATATCACTGTGGCACCAACAAGTCAGAGTGGGGACTGGTGGTAGTCAGATACATTTTTAAAAAGTCTTAACTCCAATGAACTCGGATTAAACCCAGCTGCAGCAAGCTACCACTCTGTGGTTCTCTCTTTCCCCAGCATCTAAATATGTAATTGCTATACAGACATTCTTGGCAACTGGCAGAATTCCCTTATCCCTGACCCACAGAGTAAGGACCATTAAGGTAGGAAAATCTAAAAGGAGGATCCTGGAATTCCCCACCACTGAACATAATCATCCAGGAATAATATCAACTCTGCTAAGGGAATTGCAAAGACAATGCCAACATCCAATTTACCTGAGGCCTGGGAAATTAGGGGATTAGCCTTGAAGAAGTGAACAATGGATATCAACAATCACCTTGAGGCCAATTCCAGAAACCTAAACTAAACCTAAAATATACTGAGTTGACATGTTTTGTCTATGCTTGTTGTATTTGTTTTTTTATGTGCATGTGTTTATTTATATATACTATATATTAATCAAAACATAGGACACAGGAAAAGTGAAAGCCTATATATACATACATGCATATACATACATGTGTGTATATATACACACATACACGCTACCCTTACAGGGTAGCATTACAATTTAGTCCTTAGGTAGCTGATTTTTGTGGTACTGGCCTCACTGATATATATTCCTGTGTTGTTTCAACATCACCCCCTTCTCTGATTTTATAAGCAGCCAGTAAACAGAACCTGGTCTGTTTTACAACCTCTTGCACCCTGAGCCCATACTCCGTACTACCACCACTTTTCAGACTAAAGTCTACCAGCTTCTATATTAAACCCAAGTACCACCTTACAAAATTCCAAGAAATTAAAAAAAAACATTTAAACCCACCATGGAAATAAAATCACAAATAGCAGAAAGTACAAGTTTTCAAAGAATATGTGACTCTTCCAAGTCAGTATTATGAATAAAAAAGGGCTCTGCTCTTAGCTTTATTTTTTTTTTTTTAATGTTTATTTATTTATTTATTTCAAGGGAGAGAACACATGTGCCAGCTAGGCAGGGGCAGAGAGGGAAAGAGAATCCCACGCAGGCTCCATGCTGTCAGCCCAACACAGGGCTAGATCTCACCGACGATGAGATCAGGAGCTGAGCTGAAATCAATAGTCTGAGGCAGAACCCACTGAGCCACACAGGCGCCCCTCTGCTCCAGCTCTAAAGAGACTTAGAAGCATAAACACTTGTCATATAAACTTTGACTGCGTCCTAGATCCAGAAACACCCAAAGACATAGTTTGAAACAATGTGAAAGACTTTAGTTTTTACAGGCAGGTATTAGATAACTTTTAATTTTCTTGGGTGAAATCAATGTATTATGGTTTTAGTAGCAAAATATCTTTAGGAGATGCATCACTAAGTAAAGGTCAAGCATCATATACAATTTAGTACCTATTTACTCTCACACGGTCCACTAAATACATTCATCTAGAGAGCAAGCATGCAAATGAGAAAATGGGTAAATCTACTTGAACGCACACGCCTAGCAGTAGCTGCTTACATTTTCTTTCAGTTTAAAATTTTATTGAAGAAAAATGTCTTTTCACCAAATAGAAAACACGAGTCCAAACACCCATTTAATGTGAAATTCAATTATTCTGAAAATGGAGTATTAACGCCTCCATTCTTTTCTCCCCGAGGCCCTGGCTTGAAACTTGGTGGGAATGGACAGGCTGAGGAGAGTCTCATGAAAAAACAGGTGAAAGACCAGTGGAGCACGTGCGTGTAACTAGGAACTGAAGCATGCACACTACACGCACCGGAGAAGGCATATTACCTGCCTACTAAGACAGTGTGTCCGGAATAAAAGACGAGCGCAGACAAAGCCACATTCTCAGATGAAACAGCCTCTTCCCCAACGAAAGGAAACACAGGCCCCGCTGAACCAACTTTCCACAACGCTCACCGGTCGGGTCCAGGAGGCCGCGAGTGACGGGGCGGAGCCTGGGCCGCTCCCAACAGCAAAAACTCTTTTCTTTTGGGAGAAAAGTCACAAGGGCCGCTTGCACAGTGAGGGACAGGCGAGCACAATGGCCACAAAGACCCCGCGGACGCGCCCTCCCAGCAGGACCACGGCTGCTCCGCGCGGGCACCGCCGGCCCCAGCGGCCTGTCGGGCGGTCTAGACGGATGAGAACCGCGCAGCCCGGCCCTTAAGCGGCCCCATCGGTGACCGCGACTAAAACCGGCCTTGGACTCCCTCCTTCTTCCTCCAAATCACGCCTTCCTCACCACAGACGGCCTATGCCCAACCATCAGCAGCCCGCCTAGCTCAACGCTGCGCGAACAGAGTCGCCGGAGATCCCGGCGAGCGTGTGACGCCACTTCCGCTTCCGGCCGGGAATCGAGGGGCGGGGCTTCTACCTCAGAAGGCGGAACCGGGCTTCCCTCGGGCGTGGACGAGGGGTGGCCCGCGGCGCTCGGCGCTGGGACTGAGGCCGGGATCCCGCCCGAGGACACGGCTGGGGCAGGAACAAGGTACGAGGGCGCGGCTACGGGTGGGGGCGGGGCCGGGGGCGGAGCCTAGCTCCCCGGGGCGGGGGCAAGGCGCTAACCCGCTAGCCCCACGGTGTGCACGGTAGTAGGTTTCCTGCCTCCCTGCACGACGTGGAGTCTCTGCGGTCGTTGTCCCTTAGCGATAAGCCCAAGAGCCCATCACGTAGTCTGTCTCCCGCATTCAGTCCACCTATCTCTGGGCCTTGCTCACGAGGCTAAAGTCTAGTCGTTGATGCCTTGCTTCATTGTTAGGACATTTCCTGTAAATCTTTCCTTTTTCTGTGTCAAATATGTGTATCTGTTTTTGTGAGATTGCACTGATCCCAGGCATTCTGCTCTTCTCCGGGCGTGGTTATAAAGTTGTTCCCCTAATCATGTTTGCTGTGGTTTTCGTTGGATGGCCTTTGTGCAGTTAGTAAAGATCTTTTTAAACAGGACTGAGTGTCACATCTACTCAAGACTTAGCGGAGGTGAGTGGAAGGGACTGGAAGAAATACGTGAAAGGGATTAAAAGGTACATGCAGTACATGCAGTCTCCCAGCTCCAAAATAATTAAGACCAGGAGATGTAGCATACGCACACGTGGAATATAGTCCATGTAACATTGTAGCATCTTTGTGTGTTGACAGATGGTAACTACACTTGCTGTGACCCTTTCATGATATGTATGTATATCAAATAATAAATACAAATAAATAAATGAAAATAAAGTTTATTTTATTTGGGGAGGGGGAGGGTCAGAGGGAGAGAGATCATCTTAAGCAGGTTCCGTGTCCAGTTCAGAGCCCAAATGAAGGGCCTGATCAGGATCGTGTGATCATGACCTGAGCTGAAATCAAGAGTCGGACGTTTACCCAACTGAGCCACCCTGGCGCTCCTAATGTTTCATCTTTTACTGTATAACCATTTAATTGTTTTTTATAACATCTCCAAAAAACTCAAATTTACATTAACATGATGGAAGTTAAAGAAAGTAATTAAGTTGTCTCATGGATTGGAAGGTAAGTTCTTAATTCCCTCTCGTTTCCTAAACGCCATGAAGCAGTCACTACGTTTATAAGGTAAGTGAGCTGAGTGCTTGAAATCTAGATGAGTATTAAGATCTTCAATTTGTCTTGTCGAATATTCACAATATTGGCATAAATTAATCCCTTCAGACAAATGTGAATTTAACTGTTTGCAATACTCTAGTATCCTTGAAAAGCCTTTCCCACAGTCAGCACAAAATGAGGAGAAATGTTAGTATCTCCGTAGCAATGCACCTGTTAACATTTGCAAGAAGTCTCCGAAAACCACATGCTTGACATACAAAGAGGTTGTTTACATTTGTCAGAAGTAATTCTGCTGAAGACGCTGTAACTGTCCGTCTTCTCTGTTGTTATATTTATGACTCAACTCTTTGGTTATGTTCACTTACCCCATGGCTGTGGAAGTCTTCTGGATCGACTGTCTCATGCCCACAAAACCGACACAAGTCCCATTCATGCCAGCTGTGGTCCTGGAAGTATAGTTCGAGGTCACTGCTGTGGGAGAGTTGAACATTGCGGCTCATACCAGTAAAGGTGGTCACTAAAAGGGGTGTCTGCCCTGTGCTGACTGAGGTTCTCAAAAATCACTGTTTTATAGTCACAGTGTCCATAAATTAGGGATTCTCTTCATTCAGTTGTGAGAGTTAAACCTAACTGACTCCATTTTAGAAAAAAACCTCCATCTTGAGAGTGAACTAGGCCCGAACCCAGTTCCAGGAAAAACCGCAGGAAGTATGTAGGCAGCCTGTCTGTAGTCACTTCCCTAGCAACAGCAACAACCAATCAGTTTAAAAGAGGCGCCTATGTCCCAAGACGTTCCTGTTGGCAGTTTGCGGTCAGGCCAGATGGGCCGAGGCAATCGGGTACTGACAAGATAGCCTGTGCTAAAAATCAACCTATCAGGAGACTGCCAAGCTGGACAGCCCTGAATTCCACTGTAACTGCAATAAAAGCCCTGCGACCCTGAGTTCGGGGCCCCATACCATCACTGCTGGGTCAGGGTGCGTTGGAGTCCCTGCTCGAGCTTGAATAAAGACCCTCGTGTGCTTGCATCAGAATCGGCTCCTCAGTGGTCTTTGGGGTTCTCGCGATCTGGGCATAACACAGTCTGCGTGTTTGATCAGAAGCGTGTAGGTAGAGAAATTGTCCTTGCATACTGGACACACATTTGAATCAGTACACTTATGCTTCAGGATCATATGCTGATTTAAACTAGAAAAATTTTTGCTGTTTGATGGGGTTTTGGGGTGATGGTGGTGTTTGGAGCCAATGGCCAATAAAGAACTCTTGAAGACGTCTTTGGTGCAAAAAGGTGATTTTATTAACGACTGGGGACAGGACCCATGGTGATGAAGAGCTGCACTGGGGTCGTGACGGGTAACTCATATGCTCTCAGGTTGGGAGGGGTTAGGGATAGAGTAAATCTCTAAGGTATATTGGAAACAAGGTTTCCAGGACCTTGAGGGGCTAGCTGTTGTTGGGAAAATGTCATTTATTACTGTTTAGAAATCCTCAGTCCTGAGAGCCTTCAACGTATATCAGGGGCCATGTGCTTGGAGTATAATTGTCAATATATACTCGGGAGTTAAAGGAAGTTTGCAAAGGAGTTTCCGTGTGTTGTTTAAGGAGACTCACAGGATCCTGGCGGGGGTGGGGGTGGGGGTCAAGATAACGTTAAGCCAAGATTCCCTTTTGCCCCTAGTTAAGTGACATCATCGAGGCAGCTGAGCTCCTAGAAAAAGGTCACTCTCCCAGTTGTCAGTGGGCTTTAAGCAGTAAGGGAATTTAATTTTTCATTTGCGTTTGTTTCCCACATCACCATGGCAAGCACTTAAACGCCCTTACATCTTGATGAGGGTGATATTAGGGCTCAAGGAAACAGAGTCCCTGGGTTTCTGGAGATTAGGCTGTGGATAAGATTGCCTTTTTCTTTCAATTTACTAAGTTATCTGTAAACTGAAGGAGACCCCTGTCAGTTTAACCATATGTTTTCTGTCCTTTTCCTTTGTTTAGGCAGCCAGGAGTATCCAAGAACCATCGCACACATCCCACCTGGGGGTAGGGGTGCTGTTAGCCTGTACTTTGCCCTCAGCTTGCCTTATGCTTCCTCATCACCAACAGAGTTCACCTTTCTAGAGCCCACTGCTATTAGCTCTCAGTAAAGACCACTTCTGCCAGGCCATCACATTCAAAGCTTGGCTCTTGCCAAGAATTTCGGAAAGTGTAGCTGGCATCTCTTCTGCAGTTTGGTCTTGGAAACTCTCAAGGAATTGTTTTCTGTCTGTATATCATAATCTTCAGAAACTGCATGTAATTCTGCAGCAATGGGAACATCTTCAGCAGTGTGAATTTCTGTAGGACTCTGCTCCTGAGTTTGTTGGTTAGCTGATTCACAAATTTCAGTATCAGCAGATTTTTCTGTAGGAAAGGCAGTGTGGTCTAGAATTCTAAGGACAGGACTGAGAACCAGGTAGTAATGGTTTCCATTTCTGGCCTTGATGCCATCTGTAAATTTTAGCAGGTCATTTGATGTCCCTGTATCAGAATCATCACCTTTGGTGTCAGAATATTTTAAGTCTGATTGATTTATAGAACAAACACTGTAACAATGACCGGAAAAAATTCCATTGAATCCATCCTCAATTCTGCTTATTCCAGAGGAATCTGAGTGACGAAAAGAGTGTAATGTCTTCCTTTGTCTATTTGGGGGGATATTCATTCAGGGATATTTATTCATATCTTTTCAATTTGGTACAATTCTTAATACTGTAGTGAGGAGAAATGAATTACGGGGAAGTTTTCACAGAAGGTAAAAAATGTCAGGAACCTCAGGGTCCACAGGGCTAGCCCAGGCTGTTGGGGCTCCTGTGGCCATCTGGCTCCTGGGCGCTCCCTAAGGCTGGCCCTTCTACGTCCTGTACTCCCTGTCCTCCAGGCCCCCTGAACAAACATTTAAATGTTACAGCCAGGGCACCTGGGTGGCTGAGTCAGTTGAACATCTACCTTCTGCTCAGCTCATGATCTCATGGTTCCTGAGTTGGAGCCCCACCTCCAGTTTGCTGCTGTCAGCTCAGAGCCCACTTTGGATCCTCAGTTCCCCTCTCTCTACCCCTCCCCCACTTGTGCTCTCCCCCAAATTAATAAATATATAGATATTTTTAATGTTTGTGTATTTTTGAGAGAGATAGTGCCAGTGTGGGAGGGGCAGAGAGAGAAGGAGATACAGAATCCAAAGCAGGCTCCAGGCTGTCATCCCAGAACCCAGAGCAGGGCTTGGAACTGTGAGATCATGACTTGGGCTGAAGTCAGACGCTTAACCAACTGAGCCACCCAGGCGCCCCCCTAAAAATAAATAAATATTTAAAATAATAATAATAATTGTTATATATACAAGGAAGTCTCTTTTTTAAAAGACTATCTCTGGACACCTGGGTGGTTCAATCGGATAAGCGTCCGACTTTGGCTCAGGTCGTGATCCCACGGTTCATGGGTTCGAGCCCCATGTCGGGCTCTGTGCTGACAGCTCAGAGCCTGGAGCCTGCTTCAGATTCTGTGTCTCCCTCTCTCTGACCCTCCCCTGCTCATGCTGTCTCTTTCTCTCTCTCAGAAATAAATAAAAACATTAAAAAAAAACCCAAACTGGAGTATCCAAGTGTCTACCAACTGGGTTACATTTATACATTTGAGTATTATTCTGCAAACATAAGAAAGAGAATGCTGATACGTGCTTTCTACATAGATAACTCTCAAAAATCATTATGCTAAGTGAAAGAAGCCAGAATCAAAAGACCACATGTTATATGATTCCATTTACATAAAATATCTAGAAAAGGCCAATTTATAGAGATAGGAAGCAGATAAGACATTGCCTAGGACTGAGGTGGGAGTGGACATTAACAGCAAATGGAGACAAAGGAACCTTTAGAAGTGTTAGAAATGTTCTAAAACTGCATTGTGGTGATGGTTGTGTAACTCTATAACTTTACTAAAATTATTGAGTTTACACTTTGAATGGGTGAATTTAATGGTACGCAAATTATACCTTAATAATTTCATTAAGTAAAAATTTAAAAAAAATTTAACATTTATTCATCTTTTGAGAGACAGAGACAGAGCATGAGGGGGGAGGGGCAGAGAGAGAGGGAGATACAGATTCTGAAACAGACTCCAGGCTCTGAGGTGTTCAGCACAGAGCCTGATGTGGGGCTCAAACTAATGAGCCTTGAAATCATGACCTTTGCCAAAGTTGGACGCCTAACTGACTGAGCCACCCAGGCGACCCTCATTAAATAAATTCTTAAATATTTTCTCTGGAATTACTCAAGATGACTCGAAAACTTTCTTTTCAACCACTTATCCACCAACATTATTATGCTCACCACTCTGTATTACAATCATGGTTACCTCTTTGGTCCCCTCCTCAATTTGTAGGGAAAAATTACAAATTAGACAATAATTACACATTGCTAGAAATTTAATGGAATCAAAGTGAATTGAAGCCATCTCAATATGACTGAAATATTATGATTTTTTTTCACTGATTTCAAGATCCAACTGTATATATACCCAATACTTGTTTTTTGTTCAGTTTGGTTTTGTTTCAAAACCAAAATCCCAACTATGATATTGTTTTAATTCCCTTCATAGTCTTTACCACCTGACTTCATTAGGGTTCCTCAGAAGCAGACACTGAGCCAGTAATTCACATGCAAGGACTTTACTGGAAGAAGGAACAACGACATGGGTTAGAGAGAGGAGAAGTGATACAGGGAACAAAATATATCCAATAATGCATACTCTAAGTCAGCTCCCACAACAAGTGAGCAGAGTTTTCATCCTGTGGGAAAATACTGGAAATTGGCACAAAATGGAAATATGAGAATTATCCCAGCTAAGGAGTAAAGAAGATGGTATACTTCATACCTCTCCATCAAGATCTGTCCAAGCTGGGCCATACTTCCCTGTTACGTCTTCCCCCATGCACCTGTTGCTGAACATTGGCAGTCAGGTTGGTATGCAATGGAGAAAGTAAAAGGATCCCGGGGAATGAAGGAGAAATGCTGATAGCTTCTACTACTCCAGTCTTCATTGCAGATTCATTTCTATCAAAATTCTTTTTAACAAGTGAAGTGAGTTCTGAATACAATTCACAAGTGTGTAACTACAAATCCCGATAACACCTAGTATGAATACTCTCCCCCACCAAAATAGTCTATTGTAATCATTATTACATGTTTTAGGATCTTGGGGATGTATTTTAAAACCACAATGATGGGAAATAAAGTTCCTATAGAACACAGAATGGTCAGAGAACAAGAAAGAAGAAAGGAAAGGAGGAAGGAGGACAAATATGAGGCAATATCTCAGTGATATCCTATGCAGTATGTTACTTACAAACCTGAACAAATGAGGTTTCAAATCAAGATCCCTACTCTTAAAGTTGAAAATCACATCAGTGTTTTCAGGAACACTAAGATAGCAAACTTAGAAGTGTGGGATCAGATTCAGGTTTCCGTGTTGGGACCCATCCCAATCTCAATCTTTTTTTTTAATGTTTTGTTTCTGAAAGAGAGAGAGAGAGAGAGTGAGGAGGGGAGGGTCAGAGAGAGAGGGAGAAACAGAATCTGAAGCAGGTTCCAGGCTCTGAGCTAGCCGTCAGCACAGAGCCCGTCGCAGGGCTCAAATTCACGAACCGTGTGATCATGACCTGAGCCAAAGTCCGATGCTTAACCGACTGAGCCACCCAGGCACCCCTCAATCTTTCTTTTTAAAGTTTGTGTTTATTTATTATTGAGACAGAGAAACAGAACATTAGTAGGGGAGGGGCAGAGAGAGAAGGAGACCCAGAATCCAAAGCAAGCTCCAGGCTCTAAGCTGTCAGCACAGAGCCCAATGCGGGACTTGAACCCACAAACCATGAGATCATGACCTGAGCTGAAATCGGACACTTAATCGACTGAGCCACTCAGGTATCCCCCCTCAATCTTTTTGAAAAATGGAGAAGATATCTTCAGTAAATGTCAAATACATAAATTTACAGATGTAGAGCAAAAAGCACAGTCTTGATATGAGCACTTTGGTTATGACTATTGTATGGTTTCCATTGTTTCCTCCAGGGAGAAACAAACTTACAACCAAACTAAGGTGAAGGATGTCAGCATTTGAGAAGACAGTTTGGAGAGTAAACCATGCAGGCACTTGATATAAGTGCTTTACATCTAGTATTGAACGTCTCAGGAATGACTATAGGAAGGAAAGCTAACCAAAGATAGTATGTTATGGGCTGCAAATAGGGAAGACAAATGAAAAAAGGAATTATTGAAGAGGTCGTTGAGAAAATAATACAAAAACAAAACCAAACAAAGGCAAAGCCATGAGGACTTTGAGAACAGAAAAGTTAGCATGTCTTTTAGGGGAGGAAGAAAACCACGAGGTTTACATGCACACAATATTTGCCTTTTGGAGCTCACGATGTCCACTTGGATCTGAGTCCAGTGGCCCATCATGGACAAAGGGCTCCTCGAGTGTGGAGTCTTCCCAGGGCCCCCTTCACATCCTTGTTCCTGAGGCTGTAGATGAAGGGATTCAGCATGGGGGTGACCACAGTGTACATCACTGAGGCAACTGAGCTTCTCTGGGAAGAATGGACCCCAGCAGGACTGAGATAGAGTCCCAAGCTTGCCCCATAGTACAGGGAGACCACAGAGAGATGAGACCCACAGGTTGAAAAGGCTTTATATTTTCCTGCTGCAGAGGACATTTTCATTAAAGAGGAGACAATCAGAGAGTATGAAAAGAAGATCCCAGTGAGAGGAAACACACCCAGTATGGCAGTCGACACATACAAGAAGATGTTATTGATGAGGGTGTCAGAGCAGGCCACCTGGAGAATCTGAACCACTTCACAGAAGAAATGTGGAATTTCTGTACCTGTACAGAAGGTCAGCTGCCTCAGCAGTAGGACATGAATCAGGGAGACCCAGAAAATGATGACCCAACACACCAGAACCAGCAGGCCACAGAGGCGTGGGTTCATGATGACTGTGTAGTGCAGGGGGTGGCAGATGGCCACAAACCGATCATAGGCCATCACGGTCAGGAGGAAACCATCCATTCCAGCAAAAATCATAAAAAAATACACCTGAGTGAGGCATCCAGTGTAGGAGATGTCTTTGCTCTGTGCCTGGATGTTCACCAGCATCTTAGGGATGGTGGTAGAAATGAAACAGATGTCAACCGTGGACAGGTTGGAGAGGAAGAAGTACATGGGGGTGTGGAGGTGGGAGTCAGAGAGGATGGCCAGGATGATGAGCAGGTTTCCGAGCACAGTGACGAGGTACATGAACAGAAACAAGCCAAAGAGGAGAGGCTGCAGTCCTGGGTCATCTGAGAGGCCCTGGAGGAAGAATTCTGATACTCTGGTATGGTTTCCCACCTCCATGTGGCTGGTGTGCCTCCTGGAGAAGGAGGGAAAAGAAATATTCAGTGACCAGCCAGCTGGAACATCAGCCAGTCATCACCTGTATAATACCACCTTAAAATTTTTTTTAATGTTTATTTATTTTTAAAGGAGAGAGAGAGACAGAGCATGAGCAGGAGAGGGAGAGAGAAAAAGGGAGACACAGAATCCAAAGCAGGCTCCAGGCTCTGAGCTGTCAGCACAGAGCCCAAAGCAGAGCTTGGACTCATGAACCACAAGATGGTGACCTGAGCCAAAGTCAGATGCTTAACCAACTGAACTACCCAGGCACCCAGGTCTAATACTGCCTTTAGGTGGATGTTCTTCACCCTCCATTAGTTCTTCCAAAGGCAATGATTCATTCACTCAGCCAAATGGTAACTCATTTTCAATCTAAATGTTCTTAGATATCCTTTAAACAGTTTGGCAGACATCTTTTTATCTCCTATTCACTGGTCTAATTCTACTTGGAGCCATGTACATAAACCAACTTCCTCTATGATATGACCATTCAAAATAATTGAAGACAGTGAATATCTTTCTTTGATAATCTCCGTTATGCAAATACCTCTATATTAGTTATTCAATGTGGACTCTCAATTCAAATAGCCTTAATTCTATGCTTCCTATCGATGTGACAGATAACTATTGTCTATTATTTTTCATTCTAAATATGTGGTTACTGCTATTAACTTCTTTGTGAGGATTCAAAGGGCTCTTGTGTGCAGTAAATAAATGACAGTGGTTTTTGTCAATGAAAACTGTGGTTTTTTTTTTAAAGCAATCTATTCCTTTTGTAACAATTACTTTTGATACAGTTCTCCCAAAACACAATATAGAGCTGTGGTTTAGAACATAGTATCTTGAGTCAGACTTCCTGGAATAGAAATTTGGTCTACAAACTTACTCTCTGTGTGACCTTGAGAAAGTTAATCTCTCATAGCTGCAGATAGTACACCCCTACAATGGAAGTGGTAAGTATTCCCTACATTGGTAAGCCTGGTGTGTGATTTAAATGAGATGATGCATGTAATGTTGCTACTGTGATTCTTGTAACATTTTGTGGACACTTGATAAATGTGAACCTCTATTCTTACCATCACTATAAATCTGTCTTATATAGCTATTGTTTATCAGTATTAAACTGAGACAGTCATTAAAGATAGAACTCTGATCATTATAAACACAGCAGGCCTGGTAACTCTTTTGAACACCATCAAGCACTTCTAATTAATAAAGATCCTATGCCTCCCTCTTTCAAATACCATCTGCCAAGTGGAGTCATCCAAGAAGAGGGAAGAGCAGGTGATCTACATAGATAAAGGGTGAAAAGCTTGTATGGGAGTGTGTGTTCATGTATACTCACTGTAGAGAGGGGTGTGTTGTATTAAAAATTAGCACTTTAATTGTGAAAAAATGATCAATAGATTTCATTAAAAAATTATTTGAGGGAGAGCTCTCCCTCTCCCCTGAAAAAATTAAAAATTAAAAAAAATATTTAAAAACTTCTATGAAGCAAATTATTCTTTAGAACTTAAAAGGCAGGGGCACCTAGGTGGCTTATTTGGTTAAGTGTCCAACTTTGGCTCAGGTCATGATCTTGTGGCTCCTGAGCTCAAGCCCCACATCGGGCTCTGTGCTAACAGCTCAGAGCCTGGAGCCTGTTTCAGATTCTGTCTCCTTCTCTCTCTGCCCCTAACCCACTCATGTTCTATCTCTCTCTGTCTCTGTCTCTCTCAAAAATAAACATTAAAAGAAATTTTTTAACTTAAAAGGCAGAGGGGTGCCTGGGTGGCTCAGTCCATTAGTTGAGTATCCAACTTTGGCTCAGGTCATGATCTCATAGTTGGTGGGTTCGAGCCCCACGTTGGGGTTTACTTGGACAGCACAGAGCCCGCTTTGGATTCTCTGTCTTTCTCTCCCTCTGCCCCTCCCCTGCTCATTCTTTCTCTCTCAAAATTAAACATTGAAAACAACTTAAAACGCAAAAAAGTTTTAAGGCAAATTTAACATGAGAGTAAATGTTTACATTATACATGATAGAAAGGAGGTCCTTGTAATTACTAATGCCTACAGATTGCAGTTAATTAAAACTAGAAACAATTATTGAGGAGGTATTTTATCTGTAGAGGTCCATAGAAAAGTCTTTTCTGAAATAGGTATACTTGAGCTGCAAGAGGAAGGATGGGTAATTGTCGATCAAGGGAAATAAGGAAAGGGCACTCATTTGGGATGGAGAGAACAGAATTTGCACTTTCCTCGTGGTTGGGCGAGCTTGGTACTGGAAGGGATTTTGAGAGACCAGTGAGATAGAGGAGAGCAGACAGTGAAGTTCAGGAGGGACAGAGTGTGTGAGGAGCACAAATAGAGCATCCTGTACTATACCTTAATGTGCCTCTCATGTTGGTGAGTTTGTTTATTTGTGGGTCAGAGGTCATGACTATTTTTGCCGTCCATTGTCTTTCTAGAGATATACTTGGTGCCTACACTTACTAGGTATTCAACACATGAAATGTTGGATGTATAATAATGACTGAGACCAAAAGTGTCCACTATAACACTGAAAAGGAACCTTCAAGCTCATCATATGATTAAACGTAGACAAAAAAAAAATAGAATAGTAAGGTGAAATAGAACACAGTCATACCTATTTAGAAAGAGTAATATATCATAAACAAGTAATACAAGTATTTCAGGAATGGAAAGTTCCTTAATGCTAGGCTGTTTGCCAAAAGTATGCATCTCAAAAATAGAGAAATGAAGAGGAATCATAATCATGATCACAATGGGAAAACATATTTGAGAAAATGTAACAGCCTTTACTGTGGTTAGCTGCTGGGAAAAAGCTCCTTGCTACATGAAGAAACTTTGGTCAATTTATTAAGCCAATAAAGAATAGTTGGTTAAAATTGCAGCCAACAGGGTATTCTACATTAAGCCACTAAATTATTTCTGTTAAATTTGTGAGCAGCCCAAGACAGTTTACTCCAATTTCAATCACTCAATATTCTCTTGAATATTTATATAGATTAGTAAGAAAGATAGGAAATGGATATCAGCCTGAATACCCAATGCCAGAAATAATTACATTATTTGTAGATCTATTGTGGACACTAAAGGAAAACAACAACACAAACTAGTAAGTGCTATCAGTAAGTCAAATCTGTGAGCAAAAACAGGGAATATAATAGAAAACTCCAATCACTTGAGGGACAAAGAAGGCAAATCATGCATAACACATATTGAATGAGTGGTTAATGAGTAAATCATGGGGCAGGAAATCAAACAGGAACCTAGAATTCATGGGAAAGAATACAGAAGAGGAAACTCACTGGAAAATGAGTGCTATTGGAGAAAGACTCTAGTTTCTGAAAGAGTGAAGGAAACATAGGAAGATCTGGAAAAGACTATTCCAGAGGTGAACCCAGTACCCACTTTCTCATCCCTTTTCCTCATACTCCTCCAGCCCTTACTGGGAGACAATGATCTTACCCTCTCTGTTTCCACTGAAGCTCTCTTTTCTCTGCAGTCTGTCCCAGAAGAGCCCATTTGGGTTTTCCTCTAGGCTGCCATCAGAGAATTATAGGAAAGTGGCAACAGGACATGTTATTATCGTCTCAGTGGCTAAATTCTCAAAGGTCCTCATTGAGTAAATTGTTTTACTGACTTTCCTCTTTCCACACAATTCAGGTCCCTTGGGATACAAAGATGAAAGAATGGAAAATTTTCAGTCATGTCTGTGTAGGCAACAGTGGGCCAAGAAATTTTTTTTCCTTCTATGGTTTGTCTTAAAATGAGAAAATATCCCCTAAGAAACATTTAATTCCTACAAGAATCAAAACCAGGAATCAACTTTATGGGATGCTCATTCTTGAAGAATCTTTGGAGATTTCAAAGATCACGTAGTCCATAGTGTCATGGAGGCAAAGAGGTCCTTTCTGAACAAAAGCAGAGTGGCTAATAGTTTAAACTAGCCATATTCCACAAAAGAACTCCTTTGTTCTCTTTAAAGGACTAACCAAATGAGGACTGAAAATATCCCTTGACATTTGCTAACCACATGGAGTCCTTTCCTGATATTAGATAGGTCTTCATTTTTTACCTCTAAAGTGAAGAGTAGGGGCATAAACAATCCACGTAAAGTGCGTTGACAAGTGTGTATAGAGGAAATAGAGATGCCAGTATAAATCACCTATGAAATTTGTCAAGGAAGGTGAAGATATAGATAAAATAATGCAGAAAAGAAATTGTGGAGTATGGCTAGTTTTGTTTAATGAAAATTTGCAAAAGTTTAATTTCGGAGTATGATCACATTTTTTAATGTTTATTTATTTTTGAGAGAGAGAGAGAAAGCATGGAGGAGGGGCAGAGAGAGAGGTTGACACAGAATCTGAAGCAGGCTCCAGTCTCTGAGCTGCCAGCACAGAGCACCACGTGAGGCTTTAACCCACAAAACATGAGATCAACAGCTGAGCTCAAGTCGGACACCCAACCGACTGACCCACCCAGGTGCCCCCAAAGAGTATGATCACATTTAGAGCAGGCATTTGCATACAGCAGACTTTCAGGCTATGCAATTCACAGGATACATGTACACTGTAAGTCAATGACAGTTATAATGTGCAGCATCTCCAATATATGGGCTACATGAGTTCAGAAATCAGGCTTGTTAGTAGAAGGAGCCCTGTGTAATGTCACTCCCAGTGAGCCATTTGGGCAATATTTGCTTCTCGTCTCCTCAACTCAACCCTTAGCAGGTTAAGATGTCTTGAATCCTAAAAGGTAGCACTTCCACTGAAAAGGCCAATGTCCTTTTGAACTTGAACTATCCAGCTACCTGGCACTTGAGGTCCCTCACATCAGAAAGAGAGGACACCATTTTGGCAGAGTTAACTGACCCTGCTCATCAGTGACATTGTGTGAGCATGGCAGTGGACATGCACTTGTACCCTACTGTACTCAGTTGTTGGATGGGAGCAGCC